GGGCGTGGGGCTGGACCCCGATCGGGGAATGAGGTCCCCGTGCTGACCGAAACGGTCGGGGTGGCCGTTCTCGGGACGCGACGCGCCCGCCGAGCTCTTTCTGCGCGGGCAGGAGGCTCCGGCAGATCCCGGGGGCTGCCCGATGCGTCCCTGAACCTCTCGCAGAAAGCGGGGAGGTGAGGCGAAGGGCTCGTGCCGCTCCGTGCCTGCGATGGCTCCGCAGCATCCCACCCGCCTCCCGTCGTCTGTTCTGGTTTCCCTTCTCCCTCCCCCCTGTTGCTATTTATCCCAAATGCCGTTTTTATCTCTCTTCGTGCTCTGACTGTACGTTCGAGCTTCTGGGCAAGATGCTGGTAATTTCCATACAGCTTAGGACATAAAAAGAAACGTCCAAAAGCTTCCAGAAACGCACCAGACCCGCAGCCCCGGGAAGCGCAGCAGCGTCCCCGATGGCACGGCCTGCTGCTAAGTTTAGGGAAAAAAATAAAATAAAATAAAAAAACCCCTTTCTAACCTGGTCGTTTTGACAGGGAAAATGCTGGAAATGAATTAAGTGAAGGATTTTTAGGCAGCGCAGAACATCCTCCTGGTTCGGTATCGCTCTGAAGCCTGGCGGTATGGCACGAAATGAGGCGGTATGGCACGAAATGAGGCGGTATGGCACGAAATGAGGCGGTATGGCACGAAATGAGGCGGTATGGCACGAAATGAGCTCTCTGACCCCAGTATTTTAGTGCCTAGCTTTTGATTCGGCACCTATTCATTACTTTTAAGAAATGCCAGGCATTCACTGCTCCTCGTTTCTAATTTGCAGTTCAGACCCGACGTCTCTGAAGAGGGGACGCCTGTGAGCACTCCGCGTTTCGCAGAGCCCTTCCCAGCGGCCCCCTTGGTTGTTCCCCCCCCCCATATTGCAGTTTTTCTTCAGAAGCGGTGTTCCGTGCTGTCCCCTCCCGGCCGCGCAGCCGGACTCGCTCCCCGTGGTGGCGTTTAGCCCCGCAATTTGCTCCGGCGCGGAGCCGAGCACCGCACGTTCCTCTTCCAAACGCACGCGTCCGTTCCCGTTAGCCTTGCAATTCACGGATGCAAAGCCGAAAGCCCCAGACAGACTTTTTTTTTTCTTTTTTAAATTTATTTTTTTTTTTCCTCTCTAAGAGCTCATGACCCATCAGTTCCCATTATACTCAAGGCCGGAGCTCTTTTGAAAATATGCCACATATTTTGGGCATTTGAATGGGCCTTTGTGAAAACCCGCGCTCGGCCTCTCCCGTCGCAGGCTGGGGTGTCACGAGTGCGCACTCGCGTGCGCCCCCCCCCCCCCCCGCCGCTGCCGCCGCACTCTTCTCCGTCTCTGAAGCCGCTCCAGCTGGCAGGCGAGGTGCCCCTGCGTAAGCACAGCACCTGGTAAATATTGCCAGCTAACGCTTTGCTTCAAAAGCAAAATGAGATTAACTGAGGTGTCTGGAGGGCTTGCGTGCCGTTCTCAGGGAATTCTACGAAATGTGGATTCGGTGGGGAAAACGACAGGGAGCTGCGCGGTGACAGGGGACGGGAGGACGGCGCTTGCGTTTCATGGAAGCAAAAAAAAGGAAAAATAAAGGCGTGGGTGAATTCGGAGCTGCTTCCGCGAGGGCGTCGTGTTACGGGGCTGGGAGACGTCGTCTTACCTGCGGCCCAGCTCCGGTAACGCTGCGCCGGGAATTCGACCGCCCCTCGGGTTCCAGGGAGGAGCTGGGCTGTGCGGAGCAGCCGGCGTGCCGCTTGGCTCGGGCGCCCCGTCTTTCTCTTTCCTCTTCCTTGTCACGCCGCAGGTCTCGGTAGCAGGATTTGATGCCGAGGGCTCGAGGCTGTGGTTCGCGGGACGCTGGCGGGGTTTTTATCTGTGGGCTGGGAAGCATGAGGAAGGAAAGCGGGGCTCTCCGTCAGGAGGCTTCATTTTTTTTGGACAGAGACCCCACAAATCGCGGGTTGGAAAAAGCGCTGCCCAGAGCGTGGGTTTCGGGAGCGCTCGCTCTCCCGCCGCCCTGCAGCGGGACGGGCTGGGGAGGGAGGATCCGGGGGTGCTTTCTGGTTCTGGCGATGTTTTGCCCTAAATTGAGGCAGATCCACAGCTCTGGGACAAAACGAGGGCTCTCGCAACGAAAACAGGGAAAACTTTTCCCCTCTGAAAGGAATCTTTTTTCCAACCGATCCTAAAGGCTCCAGCTGCCTCCGCGGTTCCCTGCGAGCAGCTCTCCCGCTCCCCGGTGCCGCACCCGGGATCGCCGCGTGGTCGTGCAGCTGGACGTGCCCTTCTCCCAGGTGAAGGCTGGCCAGGGCATGCTCTCCTCCTGGGGAGCAGTCCTTTTCGCTTCTTCTGGTGGGTAAATAGCTGGCGGATGGGGGTTGCCGTGCTGATGTAGCTGTGAGGACGGGGCCCTTCTTCCCTCTCCCTGCCGGTGCAAGGCCTGGCTGATATTCCCTGATGTCCGCGTTTGCCGCCGGGCAGGGGCGTCCCTTGCTCGGTAACGCCGTGGAGGGCGAGGAAGCGCCGGGGAGATCTGAATTTTTCTCCTTTGGCTGGTTTTCGGGAGGGCTGGAGGTGGGGAGGCCGGATAGTGGCTTTTCCCCGCCCTTTACACGGAACTCGCGCTTCTGTAGCACCAGGTGAGCACGGGCTGAGGAGTTCGGAGGAGCCACGGGAGAGGTTTTCTCCCTCCTTAGGGACAGGGAGGTGATGGGGGGGTGCCCGTAGGGTCCCGAGTTCAGGGGACGGCTGCGAGGTGGACCCAGAGGTGCCTCTTTCTCCGTGCCCTGCGCTCTGGCTGTGCACGTCTGTCTGTCCACCCAGCCTGGCTGCTTCTTCGCCTCCCCTTGCAGCAGATCCTGCTTTGACGGCCCTGGCAGCGTATTCCAGAGCAGGGAAGCCTCTGGATTATCCGGTTCCCTCTCTCCCATCCTCAAAAGCTTTGCAGCCGCAGAGCAAGCTCATCCACCTCCGTCCTGCTTTACCGGTGACCAGCACCTTGCTGCTGGTCCGGCAGCGCCTCGGCTGGCAGGGCGGGCTCGGAGGGAGCCGGCAGTGGGAAAGGTGCACGTGTGAGCCTTTTGGATTGGGATTTCGTGGCCTTGGGAGGAGCCGCTGAGGAGTAGAAAATATTTATGCTCTAACTCTGATGATGGCGGAGCATCTCCGCAAGTTCCCCGCGAGAGCCGTCTTCCCCGCGGTGCGAGCGGCAGCAAACCCAGCTCCCCGTCGGAGCTGCGTTACCAGCAGCTCGTCGGCTTTCGGGCACCAGTTCCGTGGCCTTGCTTTCCGCCAGCGGGGCGGGGAACCGGCCTCGTCCCGGTGCTTTGCGGCAGGCTTGTAAATGGCTCTTTCCTTAAACGTCGTTATCCAGACGGGCTTGAGGCTGTAGGTGTGTTGGGTTTCTTAACTTATTTCTCTTCGGTCCGCCACTAACCTTGCGTGATCTCGATAAGGGTGTTTTTCTGTTCCGCAGTTGTCAATTGAGGTTAATAATGTCTGCTGCAACCACCGGGCTTTGGCCATCCTCCTAACGAAACCGAGACGCTGGCCTTCCAGAGTGCCTTCGCGGGGAGGTGGAGCTCAGGAATCCACCCGAGACTCCTGGCCTGTAACCTTGCGAGCTCTGTCTCTTTCCCCGAAGCCTCAAGCTAAGTGCTTGGTGGCTAAAACCAGTTTCCTCTCTCTTTACAGGAGTACACTTGCCCGAGGTGTGAATCTGGCTTTATCGAAGAAGTCACAGATGATTCCAGGTGACGTACGCATCGGTGCACCGCGTGTTTTACCGCCCGCTTACATTTCTTCTGGGTTTATATGATGCCTGGTGTAAAGCCTCTAAAAACCGTGGACAACGCGGATAAGATAAGGAATGCGAAGGAAAAGCTTATCTATTAGCGTGAATTTTGGACTTAATACCAAAATATTGTAGTACCAAATACTTAATACCAATAATACCGGATGAGACTGGAAATACGAGTGGCCATCGGTCCCGTGCTAGAGCCACGTGGAGGGGTTTGGGGAAGACTTCCAAGAAGGTGGGAGTTGTGAATTAAGGCTGTAGAAGGTCCCGTGAACAAAAGCGCTTACGGGTTTCTGGCGCCCGTTTCTTTGGTCCGTTAGAGCAAAAAGCATCAGGTTTTTGTTTGTTTTTTTTTTTTTAGGAATCAAGCTAGAATCTCAGTGACTCACAGTACCTTTCTTTTTTTCTTCCCCTCTGTTGGCCCCAGCTCAGCCTCCTGACCGCTTCTCCAATCTCGCAGCTCGGGCCAAGAGAGAAAGAAATACCTTTTCTCTCTAGGATTTGGTCGCTGGTCGCCCAGCAGAACACGCTGCTGGCGAATGAGGGATCCAAAGTGATGCCTGTTCAGTGCTTACCGCGTTCGCTCTTGCGTAGCGGCTGAGAAAACTGCTTTATTTGGGTTGGGGGTAGGCAGGGCGAAAGGGCACCAGCGGTTACGTGAACCTTCGCTATCTGAGACTTGCCAGAGGAGGAATCTGGGGCCGGGTGCTGCTGAGGAGAGGACTTAATGTCACGCTTTGTCCCCTTCTTCAACAGAAGTGTACACCCGTCGCTTAAGGCAAGACGGGAGGGGCCCTCGGGGGCACTTAGCACGCGGTCCCGTTTGCAGAACGACGATGCTCCATCTCGAATGCCTCCTCCTAGGAGGCTCTTCCAGAGTCCAGGTAGTTAGAAACCGGGTTTCTTCCACGGTCAGGTTGTGCGTGGTGTGCTGGCACACAAAGAAGCCCTTTAATTTTAACGGTCCTTTTCTGTCCCTAGGAATTATTCCGCCGCGTTCACGCAGGCAGGCTGCGTTTGCTCATCCCTTTCTCTCTCAGACCACGCGGGGCCTGTCTTGCTCGCGTGAGCTCCCGTCTGTGTTTGACCCCAGAAGGGGAGCTGGTTTCTGGAAGGGTGGCCTGCTCTCACTCGCCTGTTTCTCTCCAGTTTCCTAGATGGCAGCGGCATAGACGACAGCCCCTCCACACAGTTCGCAGAGGTGAGTTTTGCTGTCGTGCTTTTGCTTTGGTTTTGGGTTTGTTTCTTTTTTTAAACTAGCTGTGAAGAGGTTTTCAGCCTCGGCTCCGGGTGCGGTACACGAAGGCATCTCCGCTTGCTGCCTTGTAAAAAGGACAGCTGACCTTCACAAGCGTTTTCAGGAACTTGGCAAATTTCGAGGAGGCTGCTGACGCTGCCAGGGGTTTGCTCGCTGGGCAGGGCGGGAAGAGCAGCGTGCTAGAAAGACACCCCGGCCCCTGGTGCTGGCAGATGCTGGGACGTGTGTCGGTGATGCTCAGCCAGCCGGGGAGGGTGTTGCCTGACCGCCCTTTCCTCCCCGCTCATTGCTGCTCCGACTTTTACCAGAACGGCAACTGCCTAAAAAGTCCAAACTTGGAACAAAATCCCTGTCTTGTAATTCAGTCGCGCGGACCTCGGAGCAAGGGGGCGTTGGGCAGCGAGGGCTGGCAGCATCTTTTCTTACCCCGTTACCTGAAGTCTCAAACAGCCGGGCACGTGCCGACAGCCGGAGTCGAGCTCCGCGGATACGCACCCTGAGTTCGTGCCGTGGCCTCGCCTGACTCGCCCTGGGCTCGCGGCTGCGGCGGCAGCTCCTCTTCCAGACCCTGGGGAAGGGAGGGCGGCTTCTGGCTCCGGTCGCAGGCTCCGTTCCTCAGGGCTCTGTCTCCCCTCAGGAGTTTGGCCGGGCTGTGTAAAACAGATGGAAATAAAATTTCTGTGCGCCTCCTCTGCCAGCAGACCTTGCTCAGAGATCAGGTTATTCGTTTGCTCCGTTACCGAGGAGTTTTAACTGTTCCTCGGTCCTGCCAGGTGAGCCCCCCGATGCCTTGAGTCGCAGCTCATCGGCCAGGGTTATCCCTGGGTAGATTTGGGGGTCTGTGTTGTGGCTGAGCCCTCCTTGGCATGCTGCAGCAAAGCCACTCGGTTCAGTGCCAGAAACGGGGTCACCAAATAGCTGAAATTCCTCTACAGCTTTGTGTTTCGGATCTGGATCCCTCCTGTTCGCTTCCACGTTCCCCGCGTGCGGCTGGTTTGCCTCTCCTCCCTTCACCTTCAGCCGGATCCGTTTGTCTCCTGATCAAAACCGTTGCCGTTACGTTGCTCCTCCCCAGCGCCGTATCCCAGAAATGCCCGTGTTTCAGCGAGATGAAGCGATCTCGTCTTATAGCCCACGCGGCGGTTTACAAAGAGCTTCGGGATGCCTCTGCGTGAAAGGCGCTGTGTAAATTTAAATGGCTTTTAGGATGAATAATAAATGAAAGTCCTCTCAGCAGTGTGGCTGCAGGCGGGCAGAGCTGTATCTTGATCACAACCAGCAGGAGAACAAGCGAAGCCCTTTGTCTGCGGGGCATTAATTCAGAGAACAGGTCATAAACTTGACTTCTCCCTTTCCTCCAGTAGCGGATCGAACCAGGCAATGCGAGAGACTTTTAAAGTGAGCTAATTTGGTGTGAAATGGAAATTAAGCCGCCCTGATCGTGTCATAACGCATGACGAGGGTCTAGTACGAGTAAGAAGAGAACAGCCCGCCTGTTAAGCTCTGCGGCGTTTAGTTCCCGCAGTAAAACAGAGGACGCCGCTCCTTCGAATGTCGCTTCTGCGGCGCGGAGCCTGGCCCCGGGCGTGTTGAGGGTGAGCAGCAGCAGCAGCAGCACCTTGCTCCCAGCTGGCACGCGGAGGGTTGATCGTCTGACAGTCCTTGTTTTGTTGCGTCCGAGGAAATTTTTTTTTTCTTACCGTAAATCTTCAGTGCCCGCCTCAGCCGTTACTTTAATCCGCGGGTGATCTCGGTCCTCAGAAGGAATAAAACCAAATGGGTTCTGCAGGTGAGGGTGGCCGAGGGGGCTCTCGGCTCCGAGCTGTGGCTCGGGATGGGGATGCCTTGCTGCGGGTTCCTGGGTGTTTTCGTGCCCGGGTGTTTTTTGTGCTCACCTGGTGCTACGCACACCCCCCCGCCGCCGCCCCGGGTTTCTCCGCAGGCTGGCAGCCCGCGGCGGGGGGCCGCGCCAGGGGCGCCGCAGCGATCCGCT